AATTAAGTAAAAATAATAAGTCAATGCTTTGGTCTTTGGCACGTTCCTAAACAGAGGATAAAGAGACTGAGACACCTGAAGTTCCCAGTCCTGGGAGCCCGGAACCAAAAGAGTCTGGTGCTCAGGAACAAGCAGGAGAGCGACAGGAAGGCGAAGCTGATGCTGATCAGAGTAAGAAGGCAACAGAACAAATATTGCAAGATCCTAAAGATAAAGGCGAAGGAGGTGAGAAAATAGTTTGGCATTTTCCGCCTTTCCTGTTGTGCTACAGCAATGAAAATGGACAGATATTTAGACCTTTTTGTACAGAGAGTAAAAGTGAAAACTACTTCTATGAGTGTGGGCACCAAAAGTGGAATTATCAAAATCCAGATATGATTACTATAGTGGTGCTGTGAACTATACTAGATTCAAGATTTTTTTTGCCATGTGTATGTAATACAGTAAAATTCTTACTTGTGTGCTTCCTGCAGGCCATCATACCCAGTAAATACAAGATAGTTAGTAGGACAACCAAGAAATGTAAATAACAAAAGCAGAAATGTATACCACCAAATATAAACAGTCTTTATCTGTGTAAGAGGTGTACTGGAGGTAGAACATGGGCAACATACTTTCAGATTATCAATTGTAGTAGCCTTTGCTGTGTGTTTAGCTTTTATTGATGCAGTAGTGCAGATAAATGCAAGACAGTTAGTAGGACAACCAACAATAAATATCAAAAAGCAGAAAAATATACAGCCAAAGATAAAGTCTTTATATGTGTAAGGGCCAGTATAGACTCCAGACATACATTGCCTGCACTTACACCTGCTTTTGGTACACAAGCGGTGTTGCTGCTCATACTTACATGCGCATAGTTTACTGTACATCAATCTGGAGTATTAAAAGTTATGTCCACCAGGGGGCAGTGCAAGAAATCCATCTTGGGTGGCTCCTTCATTTCTTGTCTTACTTCTTTGTATGAGGTTGTGGCATGAAGTGTTTTACGCAAAAGATGATAAATACAGTGGTACCTCAGAACTCGAATTTAATCCGTTCAGAACTCCGGATTGAATCCTAAAAAATTCAAGTTGTGATCAAATTTTCCCCTTAAGAAATAATGGAAAACCAATTAATTGGTTCCACTGTATTGTAATATTGATGTAGCAAAAAACAAGTTCAAAATAAATTAGTTTCTCACAAATACCTCTATGAGTGATTTAAACAGCAAAGATAAAAATGATTATGATTGGCTGGGAAAGCATATGCAGAGCTTATGCAAAAGTAGGGGTGGTAAACTTTGAACTAATTTTAAACATATCCTGGATAATCTTGCAAAGGAACGATTATTAAAATTGCAAAGGTTGCTACAGTAAGTTTTGTTTTCTATAACAGAATATAAATATTATAGCAAAACGTAACCCCCCCCACACACACACACTTTTGGCGAATTTTGTCACCAAGATTAGATGTGCACCAATTAAATATTAGGGATCGGTATTGGAATCGAACCATACCTATTAGACAGATCCATGTCTGATATTTACTTATTTAGTTTTAGGTAGTCTATAAAAAGACAGGTCCTATTTGTTGTTCAATCAATTTGTACAATCAATTGCACACCAGCTCTATATTAATATTTATAGTCAATATTAATGTCACACATCACCCAGCCCTACTTAGTATTTATTTCACTGTAACGTTGCACTGTCTTGCTAATTGCCTGTAGTCTATGGAAAAGGCATTTAATTTCATTGTATTTTGTACACATGATGCTGCTTTCTTAACTTGTATTCAGAAGCAGAAGAAACTTAAACTGCCGTTGCATTTTGAAGACTCTGTACACGGAGGCACACAATAGTGTTTGGAATATTTTTTTCTCCTGCCTACCAGCCACTCAATGAATCAGGTGCTACTTTAATACTAGCTGGACCGTATATAAACACATAGCCCCTTGACAAAAGGTGTCCCCAAGACGTTTGGTCTCTGGCATACGCGTAGCATTAACTCCTCATTTAGGTGCAAAAAAGGCACGTGGAGTCGGCACAGGAAACGCGTGGTGGTAATGATGTGGACATGGTGCATGCATTGAGTATAAACCGGTCCTAAGAGATGCACCGGAGGTAGATCATGGGAAATGCAGTATCAGAGCGTCAATTGTGGCAGCCTTTGCTATGTGTTTCACCTTATTGATGAGTGTAATTGCCTACAACTGTCCCGGAATCATGTGATCCAAGTATTTAATGTATGATAGCCTCTTCCGTATTAGAGTAGGGAGAATTGTTATCGTGCTACCTGCCATTCCAAGCAACTGTATCACAGGTACGTCCTGTTCTGTCATGAGATTATAATTATTAAGGAAGCAGATAGCTGAAGATGAGGCACGGATCCTTTTATATCCCCTGGAAATATACGTAAAATTTGAAAAGAATAGAAAATTGTTACCTTGCATCATTAATATGTTTTTCAAGAACAACAAGTTTCCTTTTCGGTTGCAGACCTGAGACAGCAGGAAAAGGTGGTTGCCCATAGCGATGAACCCCCAGCAAAGGACAGCAGCGGTGTGATTTCTGTAATGCTATATTGTAAGTTACACTGAAAATAATTTAAAACATTAAATTGTACAAATATTTGTGAGTTGTTAGGCACTATTTAAATTATATATAATAATAAAATAAGGCGTACTAACCTAACTGTTTTTATCAATCTTTGCTCGTAGTGTCAGCTTTGGTGGCTGTTTTGGCTATCATTTACATCCAGCCTGGCTTTCAATCAAACCTACCCCCTGTACCAAGCAAGGGAAGAGCTGACATTTTTAATGAAGAAATTGGGAGAGTAAAGCTCAACTTTCCCAGCCAGAGGGCAGCATTGTGGCGGAGGAGTGGAATCCATCTTACGCGGCACCTAGAGGCAAAGAGGCCTACAGAACCAGTCAGCATGATCCTGACGTCGGGTCGTGGGGCCGAGAAGACTCTACGTTGCCTGGCCGTCCACATAGCCAAAGCCTTGTCTGCAGCTCTCAACACTTCTGTACTCGAAATCGACGGAACCAGCAAGGCCTCGTTAGACAGTGACCAAGTTAAGCTGGACATTGATGAGAAGCTGAATACGGCCTTTGGCATGAAGAAGGGGCCGGCGGTTATCCATCGGCTTGAGGAGTTTCCCCCGGGCTCCACGCTTATATTTTACAGATACTGCGACCATGAGAATGCAGCTTTTAAGGAGGCTTCTCTGATCTTCACCGTGCTGCTTGAGGAGGTCGAGCATCTGGAGCCGCAGATGAGTCTGAGCGATGTCGAGGAGATGGTTCAGGATCACGTCAAGGGCAAATTCCTCTCCTCCACGGAGCCGGCTGCTTTTGATAAAATGGATGTTGATAAATTAGGTGGGCTATGGAGTCGGATCTCGCATCTGGTCCTGCCTGTGGCTGCAGAGAAGGATATTGAGCTGGAGGGCTGTAGAAGCTGAGAACCTTCATCCAACAGCAGAAATGCACTTAACAATCTAGTGCATTTCAGATTTCAAAATGACTATGAACTGTAAGAAGAAGGTTTCCTGAAATCTCATTTTCTCTTACACTTCCTTTCAGAAAACACTTTGACTTTAAATAATCAAGGGAAACTTTTAATCAGCTATAATTTACCTCAGGGTTGTGTTATGGACAAAGGAAGCATGACTTATAAACTTAAAGATTTATGTACCTGTTTTAGCACAACATTGAGATATAAAGATCGGAAGTTGTCTGTTTTTACAGTAGATTTGATCATTTAAGGAGTGAGATTTAACGGTAAGGTTTACAATGCGAATCATGGCCCAGTTGATTCACTGATATTTTATTGAAATCTGTGCCTTAAATACTACAGTATATAAATAAAAGATGCCTATTCTGTTCTCATTGATTGCAGGTTAGTACTGTTCAGCATTGTGTTTGTGTGTGTATAATATAAAGGGAAAGCACTGTAATTTAACATATCCATTGATTTATGGGCTGCTAAGCTAGATATTTTATGTAATTTGTATATCCTACCATCAGGTCCTGATTATAAAAATACAATTTATATGCACTTTTAAAAATTATGGTAGACAAAAAGCATACCTTATGTTTCAGAATGGGTCATTTAAAATGTTGTAGACACTTATACATGTGTGCATAATTAGTTACCTAAATTTTAAGAGTGTGATTGGTTCTGACATTAACTTAGAGGCAGTTTAACCTTGGGTTAAAAAAAAATTGAGCTACATTTTATTTTTGGGGTTAATCCTGACTGCTCTATCAAAAGAAGAAGGAATTTAGCTAAACCAGTTTTAGTATCAAATTACTGGACTTTTCACTAAGAAAAAATATACAGTAAGGCTGCAGTAAAGGTCATTTTATCAGACACACTTTTTAAGAGATGAAAATAAGATAAATGTATAACCCTAAATTAATTTAAAATTTAAGTCAGGTGCCTTAACATTTTATATGTCGCTCAGGTAATTACAGATGATGGACTGATACCAACCCCTGCCTGAGATGTGGTTTGTCTAGTCTTCCAAATTTGTGGACCTTGTTAAAAGTCCTTCTCAGGAAATGTCCATCCTCCCCCTTTATTAGGTTTTGGTGCTGGTGTGAGGCTCAGCAGACTGGGCCTCTGTGCCTGTGATTAAAAAAAACTGCTGGTTTGAATCTCATGCTTGGTTGAATAGTCAGATTGCTGTTGGGCTTTTGAGACCTTTAACCCTGGTGCTGGGTAAATGATGACCCTGTATTCTGACCCACAAGCCTTGTATATGTGGTATATCTAAAGAGGAGAGCAAGAGAGGACATGCAAAACCCGGAGGGGAATAAAGCATTGTCCAGCAGGCCTGTGTACAATAGGCTACTGGCTGAAATATCTCAAAGTATTAAAAAAGTGGGGATGTTTTTAAAATATGACCATCTTTTTGACCATCGTTTCCCCCCTGGGATCAGTAAAGTTTATCTTAATCTTTCCATAAGCTGTACCTACCATGTGCAGAGCAGGTTTAAGAAAAAATAAAAAGTGACCTCTGTTGGGATTTAGGTGTTTTTTTATTCAGACACAGTAATTGGATTTAGTTGAAAACGCAGGTGCGGTTTCAACAGAGATTCATTGGATATTCAATGTGGCGTAATCATGGGCGTAAATTTCATTTAACAGTAGGGGGGGGACAATAAATATAAAATTTCTCATGAGCAATTT